GCAGAGACCCTTCCAGCTCAGTGCACCGATGAGCATAGAGACCTCATTAGGTCAGTGCACAGATGAATGCAGAGACCCCACGAGCTCGGTGCATGGTAGAGCACAGAGCCCCTGCCAGTTCATGCACAGACAAGTGCAGAGACCCCAGCAGCTCAGTGCACTGACGAGTGCAGAGACCCCGCCAGCCCGGTGCACGGGTGAGCACAGACCCCGCCAGTTCAGTGCAGGGGTGAGCCCCCCATGTCCCCCGCACTCACCAGCCTTCCTCCAGATCTCCTCGGGCATGTAGCCGGCAAGGGGCCGCGGCGCGAACTCCCGGTGTGCGTCTGCAGGGGAGAGGGGCGGGTGCCGTTGGTTGGGGCGGGGGGCGCAGGCCGGCCGCGCGCCCGGGGCCCCCCGCGCCCTACCGAGCTGTGGGGCCTCGGCGCCGCCGGGGGGGCGCCCCGGGGGCCCTTTCTTCATGTCCTCGGCGTCGCTGTAGCGGCGCATCCAGAGGTTGAGCTCCTCGCGGTCGGCCTCCTGGCAGCGCCGCAGCACCGTGAGCGACCGCCGCGTCTTCTCCACCATGTCCATGATGCAGTTGAGGAGCTGCGGGCGACGGCGCCGTGAGGGGCGGCGGGCACCGGGCGGGCACCGGGTGGGTACCTCCGGGAAAAGCCCTGGAGGTGCCGCCAGCCCGGGGATGCAGAGGCCGAAAGCTCTCGCGTGCTGGGCCCGGTGGCCGCGCGTGCCCGTGGGGTGCCCCGCGGCCAGGACCCTGCTGCAGCCGAGGGCTCTACGTACGTTGTTGAGGTGCTTCCACTCCTCGGCCCACTCGCGGTCCGTGAGGCGGTGGTCGATGACCTCCTCTTGGCGCGTCCCGTGCACCGCTGCGAGAGAGGGCAGGGCTCAGGCCTGGGATCCCCCCAGCTCTCCCCACCATGCATGGAGCTTCAGTGCAATGTCCCCTGCTCTGTCCTGTGTGCCCTTTGGGATGGCTGTGCTCTGGCCAGATGGCTGTGCTCCGGTACTGCATTGCACTGCGCTGCATCTTGCTGCACTACACTGCACTATGTTGCATTGCACTGCACTACACTGCACCRCATTTCACTGTGCTGCAGTGCATTGCTCCGCATTGCACCGTGTTACAGTGCATCACACCATGCTGCACTGCATTGCACCACGCTGCATTGCACTGCGGTTCACCAAGTTGCACCATGGTGCACCACACTGCACCGTCCTGCACTGCACAGCTCTGCATTGCACTGCGTTACAGTGCATTGCACCAGGCTGCATTGCATCATGATCCACCAAGTTGCACCATGGTGCATTGCAGTGCATTGTCCTGCACTGCACAGCTCCACATTGCACTGCATTACAGTGCATTCCAACAGGCTGCATTGCACCACGGTTCACCAAGTTGCACCACGGTGCACCACACTGCACCGTCCTGCACTGCACAGCTCTGCATTGCACTGCATTACAGTGCATTCCAACAGGCTGCATTGCACCACGGTTCACCAAGTTGCACCATGGTGCACTGCACTGCATTCTCCCACACCACAAAGCTCTGCAYTGCACTGCATTACAGYGCATCGCACCACACTGCACTTGCATCGCCGTTCACCAAGTKGCACCGCGGTGCACCGCAYTGCACCGYCCTGCACTGCACAGCTCCGCACCGCCCTGCACTGCTCAGCACCACAGCACCGCGTGCCCGCCGCCACTCACCCGCTTGCCGGTGGCGCTCACGCGGGTCGCGCGGGTCGGCGTGGCGGTAGGCGTCGCGGTAGTGATGCGCCATGGCCATGTCCTCCAGGCGGTAGTGCTGGGGCAGGGCGCCGGCGGGGGCCGCCAGCCCGTTGGGCGGGGGGCCCAGCCCGTTGCTGGGGCTGTAGCGCTGCGCGGGGCTCAGCGTGCACGGCCGCTTGCTGAGGTGCTCGGCGTGCGGGGGCTCGCGCTCCAAGCCGTTCTCTTTGGTCCTGAGCGGGGCAGAGCGTGCGGWGGGCACGGTGCACGGTGGGCACGGTGCACGGCAGCCACCCGCGTCCTGGCGCTCCGTGCGGGCGCATGCTCACCTGTCGGGCGTCCTCCTCTTGCCGCCCTCGGCGCCCTCCAGCAGCAGCTCGGAGGAGTCGACGGGCGAGCAGGCGCTGGCGTCGAGCAGCAGCTGCTCGTGCTGCGCCAGGTACTGCGCCGGCGTCTGCTTGGCCATGCGGGCGCAGTGCAGCAGCTCGCGCTGCAGCAGCGGCAGGTTGGCCTGCGAGGGAGCCGGAATGCAGCGCGCGGCCGGAGCGCGCTGGGCTCGCCCCGAACACGCACGCGGCCAAATCCCACATGYGTGGGACACGTCCCGGAGACGCTGGCCGTGCCGCTGGGGAGAGAGCCCCCAAAGAGGCAGCGCGAGCGGGGAAGCCGCTAACGAGAAGCAGCTGCAGGCCTGGCTGGAAAGAGCTGGGAGCGGAGCCGGGAAGGCCGCGCTCGCCTGGCGCCAGCGCCCAGCCCCTGCGGCGGCGCAGCCTGCGGCCCGGCGGGGCATGGCGAGGTGGGAATGTAAAGGTGGGATGGGGCGGGGGGCTCTTTCTGCTGCCCCCTGCTAAGGAAGGGGGCTGGAACATCTGCTGCCAGCAATGCCCGTGGCCAACGCATCCCTCCGGAGCGGGGCGACAGCGCAGAGTCAGCACGAAATTGCAGGGAAAATAAAAAAAAAAAGGGGATTTTTTTAATGGATTGCAAATGGTTACCAGATGGGCCTGAGCCCGGCTTTATTGCAAACAGCCCCGCAGCACCTGGGCCAGCGCGGCTGGACGTGCAGGGGCAGCACAGGGCTGCGGGCCTGGGGACGGCGCCGGCGGGCGCAGGGCACCCACCTTGAGGAAGGGGATGACGAAGGGCCGCAGCGGGAAGTTGGTGGCCTCCTGGAGCTTGGCGTGAAACTCCTCGATGGTGAGTGTGGAGTTCTGCGGGGACAGCCCGGGCTCAGCGCCCTGCGTCCCCGCGCTATCCCAGCTCCCGCTCTGTGCCCATCGGCCGGGTGAGAGGGGGGACCTCTCGCTCTGGGGGCACTGTCCATGCTGAGAGCTTCCCCACCCAGTAAAGAACGCCTGGACCCCCCAGCCTTGCGAGCAGGAAGCCCTTCCCCGTGCAAAAACGCTGCACTTGGTGCCAGCAGCTGGACCCACCGATGCTGCCCCGTGCTGGCAGCATCGGCTCCATGCACCTCCCACCCCTGTGCCAAGCAGAGCCTGGRCAACTCCAAAAGCCATCGCCAGATGTGAGGCCAGTTCAGCACCTGCAGGACCCTCTCCTAGGTCTCCATGCCCAACGGAGCGAGCGGGAGCCCCGCTCGGGTGCGTCGCGCCCGGCGCAGCGTCAGGGACCTACCACGAGCCCCAGGACGAGCGTGCGCACCCGCTCGCCGATCTCGGGCGAGATGTCGTTGCCGAACTGCTGCAGCGTGGTGAGGAAGCGCTTGAGCTTGCTGAGCTGGCGGGCGCCGCAGGCCGGCGGCAGCTGGTGGTTGGCGAGCGAGGCGCTGGAGGAGGTGGCCGGCCCGTTGCTGAAGCCGTTGGGGGTGGACGGGGCGCCGTTGACGGCCGTCGGCGAGTGGCTGCTGCCGTTCATCACTGCGGGGACAGAGGCAGGGGCGGTCGGGGCGGGCGCCGGTGCCGGCTCGGGGTGCCTGCTCGCTGCCGCGAGCCCCCGGAGCGCTCCTGCACGGCGCCAAGCTGCATCCCCGCGCGCCAGCCCCGGGGCTGCGGCGCCGCTCGCACCCCGGCTCCCGCGGGGACACCGGGGACAGCGGCCGGGGGTCCCCGGCACTAACCTTGCGCGGTGCCGGCGCCCGCCCGCGCGCCGCCGGCCCTGCCTGCGTCCCCGGCTCCTGGGGCTCCCGCTCGCGCTCTGGCAGGGCGGTACGGGCCGCCCGCTAAAGAGGTGCCAAAAATAACCCCGTGGCCACAACTGCTTTTATTCCCGCGACAGGTGCGTTACTAAGTTAGACCGCGCACATGTCCCCGGGCCGCCCGCGGCCGCGCGGCGCATCCGTGTGAGTGGCCGGGCCGGCGCGGGGGCTGCCGCCGCGCTGCGTCTCTCATGGCGCGCGTGCTGCGCTTTACTTACAGAGACAGACCATGGACCATTTCAAGCAACCATGAAAACGGCCGCGAGGCAGAAACGTCGGCGGTCCGGCGTCTCGATCTGCAAGCAAAATAAAACACGCTGCKATGAGAGAGCAGAGGGCGGCAGCTCTCCGAGCATCCGGCGCCAGCGTCCCTGGCTTGGAAACGGCCTGTGCACCGGCTGCACCCGGAGCCACACGGCTGGGATGCAACAGGGTCTGGGCATGCCGAGTATGGGCTGCTGCGGTCCCTGCTTAGGGGCTCCCCTGCCTGATGCCAACTGCACCCAGAGCACTTTGCAAACATCCCCCAGGACCGAGAAGAGCCAGCAGCACCTCCGCTGGGCCCGCGCAGCGCCGAGCACAAAGCCGCATCTGCCACCCGGCTCGGATTAAAAGGCAAAACCCGCCCGATCGCAGACGAGCGCAATCCGATTTCTAATTAGGGAACATCTGGCCCGGCGGGGCGAGGTGGCCGCGCGCCGTCCCCACCGGCGGGATGCAGCGTAGGGCTGCCGCTCTGGCTGTCCCTATGGAGCAGGTTTCCCCTGGGAAGCAGCTAYGCCTGGTGATGAGCAAAGCCCCTGTGAGTGCCCGGGAGCGAGCGCAGCCGCATGGCAGGGCCACAGCAGGCGCTTCCCGGGGCCGGAGCTGCTGCAGTGCATGGGAATTGGCCCCTGGAATGGGCTCCCATTGCCCACACCGTCAGGATCCTCATCCAAATGGGAGCGCATCCCTCACCAGGCCTGGGGATGTCCAACAAGCCACGACCCTCAGCCAGTGTAGAGCCCCGGGGCCAAGTGCCACTATCCTGCTGCCCTGCACGGCCTGGCACACAGACCCCCTGTGCCTGGGACCCCCATTGGGGCCAGCTCCAACTCGCACAGTGTTTCCCAGCCCTATGGCACCAGGGCACCTCGCTGCATGCTCCAGCGAGCTGCAGCACTGCTCCAGCCTCCGCTTCCCCATTGCACGGCAGTGACAGCACACCGTGCAGCCCTGCGCACCCCAGGGCCGYGCTGCAGCATGCACAGAGCTCTCAGCAGGCGCCTGGCCCAGCCTGCAGCACCTGCAGGGCTCTGCACGAGCTCTGAGGACACCCGCGGGGTGCTCGCCCCCGCGCACGGCCCGTCCCGGTACTCACTGGTGCTGGGCGCGAAGGAGGGGTGGCGCGCGGAGCCCTGCGCGGCGGCCGGCGGCGGGGGCATGCTGGGCGGCGTCGACCTGGCCTGCGTCTTCACGTCGGCCGGCGAGTCGGGCATGGTGGCGGCCCGCTTCTCCACCTTATCTGCGGGGACAGGGCGTGGGGACGTGAGCGGCGCCCCTCGCGCCGGTCCGCGCGTCCCCATGGGCCACCCTGCGGGGACGGCAGAGGGACAGGGACAGTGCGTGGCCTCCTGCACCAGCGGAGATGGGGCTTGGCCACCCGCATGATTGCGGTGGTGGAAGGAGCCTCTTGCATGGCTGAGATGGTGGAAGAGCCCCCTGCTCAGATGCAGCGGTGGCAGGGGCCCCGTGCATGCATGCAAGGGTGGAAAAGTCCCTTGCACAGATGTAAGAGTGGAAGGGGYCCCGTGCATGGGTGCAGTGGTGGAAGGAGCCCCTTGCACGGATGCAACAGTGAAGAGGCCCTGTGCATGGATGCAGTGACGGAAGGAACCCCTTGCACGGATGCAGTGATGGAAGGAGCCCCTTGCACRGATGCAAGGGTGCAAGAGGCCCTGTGCATGGGTGCAGCGGCGGAAGCAGGGCCGGATCTCCCACGCAAATGCACCACAGTGCAGAAGGAGCAGCCCCAGGGCTCTGTGACAGCGGCGGTGCCGGGCACCCCATGCAGGTGCCAGCTGACATCCCGCCTCTTCTCCCCCCTGCCCATCCAAGAGAGCAAGGCGGGGCTCTGGGCGCTGTGTGCCCGCGGGCAGCGCTGCAGGCCGGGCGCGCGGAGCCACGGGGCGCACGGTGACGGGTGGCCGCAAGTGCGGGGCAGCTGTGCCCGCCCGTCAGCGCGCGCCGCCGCGGCGCTCGGCACGGCGCGGCCCAAAGAAGGAAGCGCGCGGCGGGCACCCGCCCGCTGTTGGTAAACACTCATCCACACGCATGCTTCAGCCGCAGCAACCGCAGCGAGACTGACTGAACCCTGCGAGAGCCGCGGCCCGCGCTAAATAAACGCGGGGTCTCGCCACGGCGAGGTGCTCCGGGGGTGCACGGCGCGAAGCGGGGCGGCAGAGCCCGGCGCGGGACACAGTCCCGTCCGCTGCCGTGGGACYGTGTCACCCCGCATTGCCCGGCCTCGCTCGCAGCGCTGCTCCGGCGCCGCCTCTCCCGCAATCCCGCAAACACCCCGGCTCGCCGCAGGGCACTCCTCCAGTTTTGCCTTTCTTCTTTCCCTTCTCCCTCCACAGAGAGGAAAAAAATAAAAAATAAAAAACCTCCCATCCTCATAAATAGCCTTTTGCTTTCAGAGTCTGCCAAAATAAACAGGGCACTCAGAAACACCGATTTTGGGGTTTTACTTTGTGTGGRACTGCCCGCCTCTGGGAACGGCCTTCCCTGGGGCAGAGGAAACCCAGGGCCCAGCTGTGTTGGGGATGTGCCCAGATGTTGCACCTGGGCCACAGCACCATCTGACTGGCATCCTGGTGCCCATGGGACATGGCACCCCAGGCAAAGCATCCTCTGCATCCCGACGCAGCTGGAGCACATCCACGGCCCCGGGGAATTGGCACCTGGTTGCAGCATTCCCTGCATGCCATCCCAGCTGAATCGTGTCACCATGGGACGTCACTGCTGCTCACAGCGTCCTCTGCATCCCGTCCCAGCTGGACTATGTCACCCAGGGGAACCCGCACCTGGTCGCAGCATCCCCTGCATCCCGTCCCAGCTGGACCACGTCGCTCCCGGGACGTTGCACGGCGAAGGCAACATGCCAGCAGCCTGAGGAGCCCGCTCAGCCCTGGAGCTGGATCACCGGGGASGGAGCATCCCGCAGAGGTGGGGACAGGGTCGGCACCAAGCAGGGTGCAGCCAAACCCAGGAAAACACCGCGCACGTGGAGCAATTCCCGTGGAGCAATTCCCGCTKTGGGCGGCACATCCAGGACCAGCGTCCCCGTGCCAGGGGGTTGTGCTTCCCACCCGCGGGTTTGCATGGAGAGAGCGATGCCCAGGATGCCCATGTCCATGTGTGCGGTTGTCCCTGTCCCCGAGCCCGCTGCTGGCTTGGCTCCGTGCACCAGGGCGGGAAGCAGCCCTGCTCCTCCTGGCCTGGGCCCAGCTTTTCCACAGCTTCACATCAWGAGGAAAGTTTCCATGAAGCTGAGCAAACACTAGGGGAAACGGGCCTTGGGTGGGTTTCTGAGTTTCTGCTTTTTTTTTTTTTTTTCTCCTCTCATTTTAAGGTCATAAATTTCCCCTGATGTGTTTATAATGCAAACACTGCAGCACGGGCACCAGAACAGCCCCCAAACCTGCCGGGTTCCTCAGCAGTGTGGTGGCTGGGAAATGCCCAAAGGAAACAGCCCGGGAACACCACGGGGACGGCTGGAATGAGATCCCACCGTTCCCGGCCCTGCATGTGCCGCCCTGCGCTTGGCAGAGCCGCTCCATGCGGGATGCGTGCGGGATGCATGCGGGATGCGGGAGCCGCAGTGCCGCGCGCTCCCAGCTCCCTCCCGGCAGCGCTCACAAGTGTGGCAGCAATTCCCTGACACGACTCCAGCTCCACTGGAATTCTCTCTTTTTTTTTTTTTCTCTTTGGGGTAATTTGTCCCAGCCGCTCAGGGCTGTGTCTGTTTTCCTACATCTGGTTTCCATTAGGCCTGTGCAGCCCAGATGAATAAGTAATAATATAAAAATAAAAGGATTAGTATTTTCTCTTTCGCCGGCCGRAGCGCAGCCTCCCCCGCCCTGCTTCCCGGTGGGAATCAGATGCCGAGTCCCGCACACCCCCGCATGACCCGGAGCCCTGCATTTGTCACACGGGAGCCTTTAACCCTCCGCACCCCTCAGTGCTGGCGGGCAGCAATGCATGGCACCGTGCAGCTGTGCAGGGCAAYGCGCCGCTCCAGGCGGCAGCGGCAGCAATGCATGGGAGCATGCAGCTGTGCATGTGGCAGTGGGCAGCTGTGTGGAGCAGCATGCAGCTCTGGATGGTGGCAGCCATGCATTGCATCGTGCAGCCATGCATGCAGCCCTGGGTGGCAGCAATGCATGTCACCATGCAGCTATGCAGGGCAGCACGCCGCTCTGGATGGCAGCGGCGCATGGCACCGTGCAGCACCACGTGGCCCCAGATGCCGCCGGGCAGCAGTGCATGCCCTTGTGCAGCTGTGCATGCTGGCACGCAGCTGGGGGGCACCGTGCAGCTGCACGCGCTGGCCCCACGGTGCAAGGAGGCCGGGCCCGGCGGCGGGCACGGAGCCGGCGCTCGCGGCGCGGTTCCCCCGCCGAGGCAGGAAGGGGTTAAAAGGGAATTAAAAGAACAGCATCCTTCATGCTCTCCAAATGGCCGCAAATGCGATCCAGATGCTGGAGGCGACGGCTGCGCGGCCGGGCTGCCTGGCGAACAAAGCGGAGCAGCATTCCTGCTCCCAGCTGCCGCAGCCGCGGGGCCAACAACAACTCCCCGATAAGATCGCGCGGGCCGGAGCCGCTCCATCTGGAGCGCGTTAGGGACGCGCTCGGCGCCGGTGGCTCGCACATGCGCCGCCCGCCGCGGTGCCGCTCGGCCCGGCGCTGCTCCAYGCCGGCCCCTGCCCGAGCGCAGCCGGGAGCCAGGGCTCGCGCGACGCACAGGGATCCCGCATGGGAATGCTGCAGGGAGCCCTAAAAACGCAGCGTTTCTGCTCCTGTCTCCTTGGTTCCTGGAAACACCCTGGCCTTGGAGCAAGTAGCATCATTGGGCGGCATCTTCTTCCCTGCAGCCGCTCCATGGAGCGGCAAATTTGGGAAAGGTCCACATGGATTTAGGGCGCAGAGCAGGGAGACCCAAGCTCTGGTGCAAGGCAGCCCAGACGAGGCCTTTCCAAAGCGAACCAGATTCATCAACCCCAGCGCGAGACACAAACGAGCCCTGCCCTGGGTGGGCAGCAGCCCCCGAGCACACAGAGGGCAGTTCCCACAGATCCCTGGAGCTGGGAGCAGATGCGCACGGGAATGACGGGACATGGAGCGCGATGTCCCGTCCAGAGCACATCCCTGCCTCCCTCCAGCATCCCGGGGCCTTTTCCCATTCCCAACCCGGGCAGTGTATTGGAATGCAGGAGGCCGCCCCCGAGCACCCCGAGGCGCCGCCGCGGTTCCTGGCCAGGCGCGCAGGGATCCCGAGCGGGATCACTTGGAGTTTCTTCAAGGGGAGGAAAAAAAAAAAAAAAAAAGAGGAAAGAACCCTCTCTGTTTTACAAGCCTTCATTTGCTATTGTTTATGTAAACAGGTAAATTGTTTCGTATCTCAATTAAAAACATCTGCCACATAAATGAATACCAATTAACTCATCCTGTTTTTAATTACTCTGTTAATTACACACAGGCAGCAAAAAGGATGGCATGGGAATAGGGAAAGCATGCTCGCAACCCCCCCTTCCCACCTTGCTCTTGGCAAGGATCCGAAATGTGCCCAGCTAATGATGGATTAAGGTGGCTGGTGGAAGCAGCGGCTCGTCGGCAGCCCGGGGGCTGGCGCTCCCTTCCGGGCTGGCTCCAGCTCCTGCCCCGTGCCAGGGCATCCCCTGCATCCGCGGGACATGGCCCGGCGCCTCCCGGCTCCAAAGCAGCAGGCAGCTTTTCCCGCTCGCACCCCGTGCCCTCCTGGCCCTCCGGTGCCTTGGGGAGCAGCGTGGGGCGGCTCTGCTGAGCGCCGGGGCGCACGGGCTCACGCGCAGCCCTGGGGCAGGCGGAGCGCAGTGCAGGATGCTGTTTTCTCAACTATGTGTTTTACAATTAGAGTCGTTCACGCATGGTGGTCCTGCTGGTAAAAGCAGCCCGGGACCAAGGGCATCTCGCGGGAGGTCCCTGCTCCGCTGCCCTGCTCTGCTCCCGCCCAGGAAAGGCCCTTTCCTCATCCAGGGCGCCCGTCCCACACACAGATGCTCAATGTGCTTCGCTGCTTGGGCTGCAGCATCCCCGCCGACACGCACCGAGGTATCACTGCAGCATCCCTGAAATGCCCCAAGCCCCCAGCCCGGCTCTGCTCCGCTGCTTTGGCACCCCCAAACAAGCACAAACAAGCTGCAAATCCAAGCCAGGATCCCCATTCCTGCCAGGAACCGGGAGGAACTTTCTGGTGCTGAGGGAAAAGGGGAGGAATGGTGACACCGAGGCTCAAAGCCCGGTGAGATCCCAAGCAGGAGCAGGCAACTCCCAGCCTTCCGGGAGTGGAGCCAGTGCTTGGGATACTGTCAGGAGGGCTGGGAAAACGCCCCCATCTCCGCAGGGGCCGGATGGGAGCCCTGCGGGAGGCCCCTGCGGCATGGGAACGCCGAGGCGCTGCCGGCTCCCGGGAGGCTCCCGGAGCCATCCGGCCCTGCAGGCTCCGGGATGCCTTGGGCACGTTGGCTGGGCTGCCGCCCCTCCTCCTCCTCTGTACACTCAGTTCTGAGGCAATTTCACCCACATGCGATTTAATCGAATGATGGGGGGGGGGGAAAGTATTAATAAGGAGTCTGCAAAATAAACAGGAAATCCCTCGGATGCTTTCTGGAAACCCTGCTCAGCATCTTCCAGGGAAGGCTGCAGGCTCCCGAGGTGGGGCTGCCCCGGGGGGAAAGMAAGCTCGGGAATCTCCCAAAGAAAGCCAGAAACGGGCAAATGCGCTGCAGGCAGCTCAAACCCTGCACCCACTGAGCCCAAATCACAACCCCAAGCAGCCCCTTTCCATGCTAGGGCAAAACATTCGGGGAAGACACGGAGAACCAAGCTGCTTCCAGACGCCTGGCACCCRGGACGTTCCTGACTCCACCGGCAGCACCAGCTCCCGCCGCGGGTCGTGTCCGTGCCCGGCACCAGCCCCGTCCCGGCGCCCGGCTCCTGCAGGACCCTCTGCTTCTCGGACACGGGGACCCGGCGCCGCGGGCGCAGCCTCACCTGCGGGCGCCCCGCGGGTGGCCGCGGGCACAGAGGAACCCCGCTGCAGCGCCACGTCCATCCGCGCTTTCCTTCCCGGCGGATCCCCCCAGGCACCGCAAGAGCAAAATCCCAACTTCTCTTCTCATGGAAGCAGCGGGCAGTGAGCGGCTTCCCGCGTATCCACATCCGGAGAGGCCGGTCCCCGGCACAGGGCTCTCAGCATCCTCCCCGCTCGCYGCTCCAGCTCTGCTCGGGGTTTTGGGGGTGGCTCCCCGGCATCGCCGCCGCGCTCCCACCTCCACCGCTGTCCGTGGCGGGGCTCAGCACACGGACGCTTGCCGAGCAGCTCCCGGTTGCTTGACAAAGGATGGCAGAATTAATATTCCTTTTAATTAAAGGCAGAAATCTCTCTTTGTTCCTGCGTGGAGAGAACAGCTCAGAGCTCCTTCAGCACGCGAGGCGAGAGCAGCGCTTCCATTCGGAGACACGGCCAACACGCACGTGACCCCCAATTAAAAAAAAAAAAAAGAAAAGAAAAGAAAACAACAACAACAACAAAAAAAAAGGCAGGAAAAGCCACAGCTCTTTGAAACTGCAGGAAAGTTGCAAAGTTTTCTTGGCTAAAGGACAAGAATCCAGCAAAGGTRCAAAGCCCAAGGGCACAGTCCGCAGCATCTGCAACCCAAATCCAGCGGCGGGAGGTCGGTGCCGAGGAGCGCTGCGGGAGCCAGGCTCGCCCCGCTTCGCCAGCGGGAAGACACAGCCAGATGGGTGGACACGGCGGCCGGTGGCGCGCTCCGRGGCTGCGCTCCTCCTCTAAGCTGGTGGCGTCCCCGTGGCGAATCCCGGGAGATTTTGGCAGCACCGGGGGCTCGCAGCCCCTGCCCTGCCTGCCGAGAGGRTTCTCCAGATCGGGATGATGGAGAGGATGGGGCTGCGGGGTGGCAGCGCTGGGGGTGCAGTGCAGGGCAGACCCCCATGCCAATTAACAGCGCTTAGGAGGAGCAGCACCAAGGTAGCGAGCCGGGTACCTCCTCCTGCTGCATTTTCCAAACTGCATCCAATGACACAGTCCCCTGGCACAGGCAGGGATGCCGCACGGCCCCACGCTCACACACAAATGCACCGCACGCTAACGCCGAATTAGGGTGTTATTACAGCTCCAACTTCACACAGCAGCCCTGCGTTTCCTCCCCATGACTCGGAAACTCTCCCGAGAAGCTCAGCACCTCCTCAGCACCGCGCACAGCGAATCTGCGTACCGGCTGCGAGCAGAGCCCGAGCRGGAGCCCTGCGCGGGCTGTGATGCTGCCCGCGGCTCCGGGGCTTCGCGAGCCCGAGGGGATGCTGCAGGCGGGCATCGCTCCGGCCGGCACCCCAGTGCTCACGCACGGTGCCTGCATCCATGCCCCGGTACCTGCGTCCATCCCAAGCTCCATCAGGCAAATCCTGGGGGCAAGAGGAGCGCCCGGACACGGAGCCCTCTGCGACGGCGGGAGGGGAGGGGACGCGGTGGCCGCAGCGCCCTCCTAACCCCGCTCGGCCGCGGCCGGTCCGGGATCGCGTCCCCTGGTCGGGGGTCCCTCCGCACGTGCAGGCACCGCGTCCCCGCCGGCGCGGGCCCGAGGGAAGCGCCCCCGCTGTCCCCGGCTCCAGCGGCCACCCGGGCGGCGAGAGCCGCTGGGGGAGCGCCGGGACCCCGCTCCGCGCGCTGGAACCGGCCGCGCTGACGCCGCTGCCCGCGTGCAGACAAGGGCCGCTCCGCTGCCACGGCCGCCGCCCTCCCCGTCCCGCCACGGGCACTTACCGTGCTGAGGCGCGGCGGAGCCGTCGAGGTAAATCCCAGTGGGGAGGCCGGAGCCAGCG